GCAGTAATGCAGCATCAACTTATTAAAATACATTTTAAGCCTTTTAATTTTCTGTGCTATTTTTGAAAGGGAATGGAGGGAGGGGCGTTCTGACTCAAGAGCTGAGCAAAGGCTAAGCCTTTATCACCTTTTGCTCAAAAGTATGAATCCATTTAGGCAAACTTGGGGAGGTTGGATGCATACTATGGCTTAAGTGGTTGACAAAGATTGGTGCTATTGGCGGTACATAGACGCAATGAGGATGACAAGAAAGCTACTGCTTTGAAAGAGGAAGAAAGTGAGCTGGAGGAACTGCGGTACCTTCATTGAGCTGAGAGGGGTCTAAAAATTGGGATTCATTTCTGAGCAGCTGCTGGCATGTCAGAGGCTTGGAATCGGCCTGGTAAATCTAAAACTGTCTCAGCAGTGGTTAGCTGACCTCACCCAAGTTCCAAGCCTTACTCTGCTTGATCCTTTTTTCTTGAGCCTCAGAGCTAAAATGCTCCTGAGCTCCTTCTGATTGGTTGAGAAGACCAATTGAAGTTCCCTTGCCCATGTTAGGAGGTGTACGCCTCCTGAACTAAAGATAGAAACAGCTGGCTCTTTCAGGCAGCTAAAAGCCTCCAGACTAAGAGGTGTTTCCCACTCGTCAGCCAGACTCCTTGAAATACCCTTTGAGTAGTTCTACCAACGTCCTCCATGTCTCTATTCTGCCATAACAAAGGCTGTGGGCAGCACTTTGACCCCAATGCAAACCTTCCTGGTGAGTAATCCTGACTGTGCCAGGGGTTTCTGTGAGTGCTGGGGGAGTGGTCAGCTGTGGGCAGCCCATTAAGAGAGTAGAGAAATTTGAGTGTATCTACCCTAGTTTAATTGGTGTGGGTGATCTTCAATCTTTACTTATTTCCTTTTATTCTAAAGAAAACCCATGAGCATATAAATCTGGGGGAGAGATAAGAAGTGATAGTTGGTATAGTTGCCCTTCTTTGATCCTTCTGCTGGTATCCACAGATTCCTGTTGCCATCACCCTGGGGTCCCAATCTTCCATGATGCACTTAAGGTGAGGAGTAGCAAGGGGGGACAGTAAGAACATTTCCCAAAGGAAATCTACCCGGGAATCTGAGCTGCGCTGGGTCTTTCGTTATCAGGGTTGGTCCTGCTGCCGGAAGCGAACTGCAGATTTCTCTGAGTTCTTAAACATCAAGGTAAATTATTTACTTCCTTGGATTCTGCCCCTAATAGAAGGATTCTATACCTAATCCTCCTCTCCTTATCTATACTAGGGCTGTACTGTGGGACCACACTGTGCTGAGAAGCTCCCTGAGCCCCCTCAACCTGAGGGGCCTGCCACAAGCAGTTCACTTCAGGAGCAAAAACCTCTGAATACGATTCCAAAGTCAGCAGAGACTTTGCGTCGGGAGAGGCCCAAGTAAAGAGGAGGAGGTCCCTGGGTTTTTCCTACATTTCTGGAGTTTCCTAGAAGTGATTAATGGGTCACTGGGGTTTGGGGACTAGGGGTGTGAGGAGGGCCAAGTGTTAGGGCTTTGCGTATATTTTAGATCTTAAGGGGAAATTTGTGTCCAGAGTACTGTCCTTTGCTTTAAGTTTGGTATGGGGTGATGGGATGGGTAGTTAGAGTCAACAGGGTAGCTAGCCCCTCACAAATACATACTTAGTTATAATACAAGGGGGATTGTTGAGAATGACTTGATTTATTTTTATTTTTGGAAAAAAAGCTTTTTAATTAAAATTTAATTTTTTTTTAAACATTTACTTATTTTTGAGACAGAGAGAGAC